CTGTCCTTTTGTCTTTGTCCCTATTCTTCTGTCTGTCTCCCTGTCTGTCCATTTCTCTTTCTTTTACGGCATAACGAAAATCCCCACACAAACGCATCCTGAATAAAAAAGAAAAATCATTCCTCAAGACATATTTCCCATAAAGTACCAGACACAGCCGCACATTGCCCTAAGTTTATATACGTGCTAAAGAAGAAGCCAAATTTGCCACTAAGAGTCGAGTCTCGGGATAGAGTATGGTGGGAATTAGGTTGAGTAGGGGTAGAAGTGGTTGGGTTGAGTGAGTGGGTTGAGTGAGTGGGGTAAGTGGGTGGGGTAGGTGGGGTTATACATATCAGAGCTAAGACCTACTTGCAGTATTCCGGTGTTGGGAAGAAAGACAGACAAGGGGAGTGTAGGAGAAAGGTGGAGAGAGAGAGAGAGAGAGAGAGAGAGAGAGAGAGAGAGAGAGAGAGAGATTTTAAGTTCTTGCATCTTAATTATAGTTCTAGGGGGTAGGAGGGGGTACAGATTATCTACTTATTATTAAAGAGGTTGAGTCTTTCTCCCAAGGTTTGTGTAGAGTTAAAACCGCCTCATCCAATACAGTCTTTATAAGTGAGCATAAATCTTTATCCTCTCCTAATATAAGCGATAATGAAGGACAAAATGATAATGGTAAAGTAATATCAAATATAAGTTATGCAGATGATACTGCTCTTATTCCCGATAGTGAAGAGGCGTACAAAGTCGTCAGCAGATTAGTGGCAAAAGGTGAAAAATATGGTTTAAAACTTAATGTTGTAAAGATGAACGTAACGATTGTTTTCAAATTGGAAATAAATCCTAAATTAAAAATTATGGTAGGCAACAGGGACTTAACAAATGATTTTTTGTGTGTGTAATCGGGAAGTAACATTAGCTGTGATGGTAGATGTACAGAGGAAATCAAAACAAGGATCGGGCAAGCAAAAAACAGCATTTAATAAACAAAAAGACCCACTGAAACCAGACATTAACTTTAATTTTCGAAAAAGTCAGCTGAAAGGCTTTATATAACAAGGATTATAGTACGGGTCAGAAGCTTGGACATTTTCAGCAGACACCAGAAGGAGGTTGGAAGCCTTTGAAATGTGGTGTTATAAGCGAATGCTAAGAATAAGCTACAGTGACAGGAAGTAAATGAAGAAGTAATATTATTAGCAAAAACTTCAAGAGAAATTCTTGAAATTCACAGAAAAACAAAATTAGATACTTAGGTCATATAATTAGGGATGAGAGGATAATAACAGAAATGTTAATGGACAAAGTTGAGGGTAGGAGGGTCAGGGGAGGGCAGAGACTGGGATGGATAAAGGATTAATATAATTAAAAACCGAGTCCCCAGAGAAATACAAAACCTTGCAGGATGGTAAAAACAGCCCGAGAACGTTTAGAATGATGGACTGTGGTCGTCAACCCTCAGATATAAAGACGGTAATCTGATTGATTGATTGAATTTCACATTAAAAGGCAAAAACACCTTATCCTACCTAAGACACTTAAGAGTAAAAATAAACCACCTTATCCTTCCCTAAAACCCTTGAAAGTGCATAAAAACCCTGATCAGACCTTAAAAAAACCCCGAGAATTAACTAAAAATACCTTATCCTCCCTTAAAATCCTTATGAATATAAAAACCTTATCCAAGTTCAATAACCCAAAACAACAGTAATTAATGAGACTTAATCCTCACATGGAACTCATTGGCAGTATCCTAAACACCCATTAAACTCAAGCATATAGAAAAAATACACAAATACATCATAATAAACAGAGAAAGAAAAGTGTCAAAATAAAAAAAAAATGTGTGAAAAAAAGTCCTTGCAACCAATTTACATACATTTTTCATTAAGGAACAATGTGTAAAAATGAGGAGAGGGGAAAATGACTCTTTGACTACGTGTAATTAGTGTCATTCTTCCGTGCTCTTATGATTGATGGCTGTGTCTGGGGATCCCTGCTTCTTGCTGCCAAAATTGTTGACGATTGAGTCATTTTGGCCAATTACGTCACAGGGTCCGTGTGTGTGTGTGTGTGTGTGTGTCTGTGCGTGTGTGTGTCTACTTTGCCACTTCCCTTCACTTAACTGGCTTGTTTTTGCTCCCTCGGGTTCAGTTCCGTGTGCCAGTTTGCATGTTGCGACAACACACCATTTAAAGTTCTGTTATAATATCAGCAACGTTATTTTCGCTTTGCTTATCTCGTCTTACCGGTAATTGATTATCTATCTGTCTGTCTGTCTGTCTGTCTGTCTGTCTGTCTGTCTCGAACAAGAGAAAACGAAACAAGCACAAACTTAGAGAGAGAGAGAGAGAGAGAGAGAGAGAGAGAGAGAGAGTCCACGTTATATAATGGGAACACAAGGCTTGATATACCGCACGCAATTTGCCACAATCGTCAACCGTTTTGTCTCGTTATTTGGGTTATTTGGGTTAACCAATGTGTGCGTGTGTGTGTGTCTGTGTGTGTGTGTGTGTGTGTCTGTGTGTGTGTGTGTGTGTGTGTGTGTGTGTGTGTGTGTGCGCGTGAGTGTGTGTGTGCGTGTGTGTGTTTTTGTCTGCTTGGTCATTTTGCAAACTCTGCAGTATCTCTCTCTCTCTCTCTCTTTCTCTCTCTCTCTCTCTCTCCCTCTCGCCCTCCTCCTCCGCGTCTGTTCTCACTTGCTTTGCAGTCAATCCTCTTATCTACAGTATTTCAAGAATCTCTCTCTCTCTCTCTCTCTCTCTCTCTCTCTCTCTCTCTCTCTCTCTCTCTCTCCGAGTTGTAATAAACAATTCATACATTAAACTTCATCTTACATTTCATATTTCATCTTTGTATTGTCTATTTACAAACCATCTCCTATTTTCGTTTAATTTTTTTCATAAGGATTAGTCCACCCGGGTACAGGTCACTATTATTTATCTACAAATTTTCGTTATCTCCCGGCTATTTACGAAGAACAAATTATTTCTATCGCTTATTTCCAAGCAATTATCAAACTATTAAGAAGTAATTTGGCATCTTTAACATTCCACAGTCTTTATATAGAATGATCTTCCTCACCCCTCCTACTATTACCACTACTTACAAAACGATCTTCCTCCTCTTTCTAAGCCTCATCTTCGTGCTTCTAATACGACTACTACTAATTATACTACTACGGCAAAAACTACTACTACTATTACTACTACCTATCATAAAAAAATCCGTTTTACAAGAAGAAATTATCCTATTTCTAAAATTTGTAAAAAAAAAAGCCTTTCTTTAACATTTTGTCTTAATTTTATCAAGTTATAAAACAAATAAAATTTAGTGAACTTAAAACTCTGTAAATCATTTAAAAGGAGTAAAAAATTATGTAAGTTCTGTGAGTCTAGACCAATTAGAAGTACTGTACTGTATAAAATCGTATGGAGTTAACCAAATAAAGTAGGCCAACTAAAATATAAAAGAATATTCCCTAACTCAGGATTCTTTGACTCTGGACCAATTAAAATTAAGCCAATTAGCACTATCTTGCTCGTTTTATATCTACCTATGTACCTACCTTGTGCAAACACGGTGGCAGAAAAAGATGAAGTAAAACAGTTTTTCGCTGGACGTAACTTACTTGTTTTTTTTTTGTTTTTTTTTTAAGCCCAATTTTTTAGTGGAGAAAGTTGTGAACCCTTTCTCTGTTTTCGTGTCTCTCTCTCTCTCTCTCTCTCTCTCTCTCTCTCTCTTTCTCTCTCCCCTTTCAATATATTTTGCTCTTTCGTCTTCTATCTCTCCCCTTCCCTTCTTCCCTCCCATTATCTTCTGTCTGTCGTCCTTTTTTCCTTTTCCCATCCTCTCTCCATGTCTCTCTCTTTTCCTCCTTACCTTTACCTTCTTTCTCCCCCTTTTATCTTATCATTCTCTCTCTCTCTCTTTCGATTCACAGATGTTACGAAAGCTTACAGTAACACAGACACATACGCAGAGTCGCGCGGCTGATCTGATCTGTTTGTTTACGGGACCAACTCGTTCGTGACAGGAATCCATGCATGCAGTATGTATACGACTATTGTAGGCGAACGTGATCGACCATGAACGAGTGAAAAACAACTAAAACAAAAAAAAAACAAAAAAATAGACAAATAACCTGCATCGTCAAGCGTGAACGAATACAAACATAACTAAAAAAAACACACACAGATAGCCAAACAGCCAGCCATATACTTTCAAATAGACACTAACAAATAAAATTACACAAACACTCCTATAAACATAAAAAACTCAGACAAACTACACAAATAAAGACACACACACACACACACACACACACACACACATATTCTCTAATACACAACTCTACACTCTGGCATACAAATTGCGGGTTTCCTCAAATTATAACGAGGGGCGAATAGCGTGTGTCATGTGAGGTAATCTAATATATGTCTACCAAGGATGGCTGATGGCTGATGGTCACACACACACACACACACACACACACACACACACACACACACAGGTGCGTCAGTCCCCCACACATATAAATTCTAGCCTATGTACATAGCGTTATGGGTTAGCGTGCGTCCTACGATTGAGAGTGGGGGCTCAAAGACAGGCGGTGTGGTACAGATGTAGCATGATTGTATGTTGTAGGGCTGAATAACTCTCTCTCTCTCTCTCTCTCTCTCTCTCTCTCTCTCTCTCTCCTCAATCTGTCTGCCTAGGTCTATCTCTCTTTGAACAAAATTAAACACTTAAAATAATCACGACGAGAGCATTAAGACGAGATAATGAAAGAGTACCATGGAGGATAATGGATAAAGAAAGACGATATTAGAAACAAGAAGCTATTAGGTACGAGGAAGACTACAGACGCGGCGGGTGAGTGAAGCTTAAGGTGGCTGAGGACGACTGCTGTAGAGGAGGAGGGGTAAGGGGGGGGGGATCAGGGAAGGAGGAGATGGGGGGGAGGAGGAACAACAACTTGATCCCTTGAATAATGTTGCCTATTTGTTTGTTTACAGGATCAGCTGGTGGTGACGTCATCCATTATGGCTGCAAACTTGGTGGCATCTCTGTTTGTGTTCCCTCTCCTTCAGTGCATCGCTGCCGGTGAGTTTTTCCTCCTCATCTCTTGTTATTTTAAATGTGTTCTAGCCATTAGTCACCCCCAATACCCGCTTTTGTTGACGATCTAACCGACGATGTCTCTTCCGCGTGAGGTATATTTCCCCCCATATACTTCTTATTATATACATGAAGTCGAGCGTATTATTCTCCCCACAATATTATACTCCTGATAGCTTCATAGATAACTTTGGTTTTTCTTGTGGTTTTGGTTGTCTTTTTTTGATGTTTTCCTGCAGTTGTGTCACATTTGTACAAACCTGATGATATAATACAAAGGGAAAAGGCGCTAAACAAAAGCTCATTAAGAAAAATACGCGAGTTTTAAATCTGATATTGATTACATGTTTTAACTTGAAAAAATACAATCATAAAACATAATAATGGCTAAAAAAATAATAATTTCAATCCCTATTTATTAGATAAATCGTAATCAAGTTCCCTGCGTTAGGAATAACCATTTAAGTTGTGTTAATAAACCATAAAAACTTCAATACATTTACATAAGAGTATAATTATTGTGAAGTAAGAAGCGTTGTCAACTATCAGAATATAGTATGAGGAATGTTACCAGCGGAGTTAGTTATTGCTCGGCTGCTCAGTTATTATACATTGTTTAATTCCCATATGAATATAACCTTGTTCTTATAAATATACCGAAGGAACTTATAGCTATACTGAAGCCAAATTAATCTGTTGTGTTCAGTAATTGTCCTCATTGTACCGCTGATGACGTCACTCTCCAGGCTCAGTGCTTAGATTATTTTCAAGTATTTTATTTCAATTGGATTATACTTATGCATCCATGTCTTTTAAGATTACATGAATTCTGTGACAACAACAATAATAGTGAAAATAAAACTGAAGTTGATTGATATTTACGGATGAGAATTCACAATGAAGAGAGATTATTTTAATTAACTCAGGGGATAAAGCACAGCTCACAGTATGATTGCAAGAGAATGAAATTGATTGAAAGTCTGAGATATTGACAGATTCAACAGGGGAACTATATATATACGTGTGTGTGTGTGTGTGTGTGTGTGTGTGTGTGTGTGTGTGTGTGTGTGTGTGTTTGTGTGTGCGTGCGTGTGTGCCCATACAACACTGACCCCGTTATCTCCCTCAGGTCTACGAATAACAGAAGTAGAGGTGCCTCGCTACCTCATGGTGGGACAGAAGGCCACCCTGCGCTGCCAGCTGGCACTCGAGGGCGAGGTACTCTACTCCCTCAAGTGGTGGAAGGATGGCAAGCAGTTCTACCAGTACATCCCGCTGAACAAGCCCCCGGCAGTGGTGTTCACCGTCCCAGGAATCACCATCAACGTAAGTAAATGTTTATGTGTTGAGTAATGTCATGGTGCTATTACTTGAGTGTATGTTAGTGTGTGTTGAGTACAGTAATGTCATGGTGCTAATACTTGAGTGTATGCTACTGTGTGTTGAGTACAGTAATGTGGTGGTGCTATTACTTGAGTGTATTATAATGTATGTTGAGTACAGTAATGTCATGGTGATAATACTTGAGTGTATGCTACTGTGTGTTGAGTACAGTAATGTGATGGTGCTATTACTTGAGTGTATGTTAGTGAGTGTTAAGTACGCTAAACTGACGATAGAACTACTTGAGTACATTTAAATAATTATCTAATAAGTGTGTAGGTTAAAGGAGTGATATTATTATAATATGAGTAAGGTACAGTTAAATACATATGTGATAAGTATGATAACTGACGACACTATTACATGAACACGTGTAAATTTGAGTCAACTGGAAAAAAGCAACAGTACCATTGTGCAAGAATTATATGCTGGTTAAGTGAGTTGAACCAATCGTGCACTTCTAACAGGAACAGAAAATAATAAGTGTAATGAAGAATTTTATAAAGAGACTTATATAAACGTTATAGTTACCATTATACGTGTGGTCTAATGCATTATCATGTTTGGTGTAGTGTTATATAAACATTTTAAGTAACGCAGTAGCTGACGCGAGGGTGACAGAAGTAGATGGAACTGTCAACATTTTTACCTTAAACAGCAAAGCGCCTTGTGTTGTGTTGATTAATGCACAGCGGGTGTTGGAGGGTGACAGTGTGACGCAATAAACTAAGTTGTGAGGATCGTCCTGCTTATATACCTGATCATTATCTCTCTCTCTCTCTCTCTCTCTCTCTCTCTCTCTCTCTCTCTCTCTCTCTCTCTCTATCAATCTTTCTCTCTTTCTCCCCCTCTCTCTATCTCTCTCCTGCTGCGATATTCATACATTATAATTTCGTCGAAAACTCTACGGTGGTAGTCACCCACATTTCACTATCTACCCGGTTATATTGGTAAAATTTATTCTATTAATAATGGTACAAATAATAATCTTAAAGCTAAATTAAATACTACTACTACTACTACTAGTAGAAATAATAATAATAAATCAAATAATGTAAATAATAATAATAATAATAATAATAATAATAATAATAATAATAATAATAATAATAATAATAATAATAATAATAATAATAATAATAATAATAATAATAATAATAATAATAATAATAATAATAATGGCCATAGATCTAAACTAAGCTACACTTAAAACTCTCTCTCTCATTAAGGACGGACAAAATAAAAGTACTGTATATGTAGTCAGAAACACAGGGGTAATGTCTTAATGTTACTGAACTTTGTTGTCTAGTGTCGAGGTTAAGAATTAGCGAACAGAGAGAGAGAGAATCCTCATTGTTAGGTATGTGTGTGTGTGTGTGTGTGTGTGTGTGTGTGTGTGTGTGTGTGTGTGTGTACTAGAGTTGACTGAACGATCCTTAAAGAACAACTCAACGATGAAGTCAATTGCTTTTTCCATCTCTCAGAATATTTCCCCCTCATCATAATTTCTCATTATCACTCATTAGACACTAACGGTCGATTCCTCAACTTTGTCCATTTAGGAAACTTACATTCGTGATTATTCAAGGTTAGGTGGCGCAGAATACATATTCATCTGCTGTTTAATAACATCCCCCACAGGCCAACTTTGCTCTGGAAAAAATAACTTTACATAATGCATAAGATAGACCTCCCTCCCTCTCCTCCACACTCAGTCCTGTGGTCTAGGTATGTAATTTTCTGAAAATATTAGCAATTATGATTCCACTGTTAGCATAACTACTTGATGGTTCGTGTGTGTGTGTGTGTGTGTGTGTGTGTGTGTGTGTGTGTGTGTGTGTGTAAGAAGTTCGTATGGTCGGGAGTACACGCTCTAACACCCTGAGCCTCTTACCTATATTGGTAGGTCGTGGATGCTGCTGCACTATATTGCCTCGTCTGCCTACTGACCCACACCAGTACACTATGCTTTCACATCCCCACTCCCCTTCATCCCATCCCTCAACCCTTCACCCCTCCCCTCTATCCCCTTCCCTCCCCTACGTCAACTTATTAGTTTGGGATCCCCCTTTATTGCACTCGCGACCCTTACCTTCCCCTACCCCTACCACAGCTTATAAAAGAATCATGCCTTATTTGTACATATACTGTGTGTGTGTGTATACTGTGTATATCCTGTACGAACACACACACAAAACACACACACACACACAACACACACACACACACACACACACACACACACACACACACACACACACATACACACACACACACACACAAAATATAGAAATCTCTCCTTGAATCCATATATCATTTTAAACACAATTTACAGCGGGTAAAAACCAATGTCAATAAACACCCCTGTAGTCCTTATTCTTACATTACTTCAAATACAATGTCAACACACACCTAGAGAGAGAGAGAAACACCCACATAGGATTCAATAATTTTTTTTTTTATCTTGTGTCAACTATTTTCTCATCTCGCTCGGTCAACCTTGACACTAGGCTGGAGTGTTGGAGGGGACGGTTCGCTGCCTGCATCTTTTGACAATTATTTGGGCAAGTAATATCATCGAAGAAAGTGTTAACTACTATCGACGGCCATGGCCTCAGGGCACCTTTTACAAAGTCTCAATTTCTACAGTTGACAGTCTGATAAATAAATGAAGTGATAATTTGACCTGAAGACAACAATTACAAATTAGTTAAAAGTGAAATAAAATTAAACCTCGCCTCAACACTTGATATGCAGACCATCGCTCCTAAAGACGTAATTATGTTCCAGTAATTTAGGTAAAGTCTGACGCAATTGGGGCTAATCACTTGTTAATTAGCAGAATACATTAACCTGCTCACCTCTCATTCTGTGGTCCAGCTAACTCCTTAACAATGTGTTTCAGTATTTCTAGTCATTCCCAAAGGATATAATAAAGAGACGACTTAAGTCGTGCAGTAATACAATAAGAAGTTCTTGTAAATGCCGCACCAGCTCAGCTCATACACACTTTAACAAATAAACACAACACAAGGAATATTGTGATCATTATATTATTACTGTTAATATTATATTGTTGTTAATATTATCATTGTTATTAACATTATTATTAATAGTGTATTAATATTTATCATTATTAATATTATTTCTATAATTTTTATTAGTAGATTCAGAATCAGAATCATTTTCATTAATGTCTTTCATTTCTCTCTCCTAGGCTTCCTCTCTTTATCTATATTTCATAATAATATATCATCCTATTTTCCTCTCTCTCTCTGTCCATCGCTATCTTTTCCGGACCATGAAACAACAATTTCGTTTCCTTCTTGACCAGCCGAACTGACACAAAAATTTCAATAATAGAGAGAGGTCTGAGCTGGTCCGCGGGAGCTGTATCAAGAAAACCCTCACCTCTGGCCAGACAGATTTCATTTCAAGAACATATCAAATATTGTTTGCTCGAATAAAAACTTTTGCTTTCGATAATGTTTCAGTAAATACTATTTGTTGCAACGATTTCATGTGGCTCGTCTTGCACTATTTCTCTGGGTGAAAACGTAACAGGCATGTACAGGTTCATCGAAATTGAATGCCCAGATTTTAAATGGTTATATGTTGAAATGTGGGCTCTCACTCTCTATACAACGTGCACTTTTAACACCATATATATATATATATATATATATATATATATATATATATATATATATATATATATATATATATATATATATATATATATATATATATATAAACTCATATATATATATAATATATATATATATATATATATATATATATATATATATATATATATATATATATATATATATATATGCAAGTAAATACTGTAGGTGCGTAGTCTGTTATATGCTGATATACAAAGAAAACACGAAGTTCCCAAGCGCTTTCGTGTAATTCACATCTTCAGGGGTGAGTACAGACTAAAGAGAAGTACAAAACAAGGTGTATATATACAGAGGAGGGTGAGACCAGATCCACAATGGTCAGGTATTAGGTAATGACCCTACTAATCTTTAAATAGCACCTCAACGGTCGGTAGTCAGGTCAGAGGGTCATATATATATTGATCGGTATCTCTACATGATATAAAATTACCCCAAAAGTAGTTTTATTTATATTTTTAATTATTACTCTCGAAAAATCTTTTTCAACTATAGATATTATAGTTACGTTTAAGAATAGAAAAAATAAAATAGTACTAAGGTTTCAAATCATCCTTCAGAATTCTTCAAGTCTATAAGTGATATATAAATACTACATAAACTAGCACTTGTCTAGGCACTTAACATTCACTCGCTGACGAAATCTACCAACTGGATTTAGTGTGCGTGACCTACACTTACGTCAATACCCTGAGTTTATCTCAGGTGAAAAATGTCAAGGTGATGAAAAGAAAAAAAGTGTTTCTACATTGACGCAACTTTGAAGACTGACTGAAAAGGAAGATGGAATTGACTTGGGGGGTTGCATGTACTGGGAAGATTACACGTTTTGGGACATCTGCCTGTACTAGGACGACTGCATGTACCGGGAGGACTGCACGTATGAGGAAGTTTACATGTACTGGGAGGATTGCACGTACTGGAATGCGCCTATTGGAAAGATTACACGTATAGAATTTCCCACAATAATAACAGGAACGCGAAATTCAAGTCAAGTTTGGTTACGTTTGGGTAGGGTAGGGTAGGGTAGGGTACTAATGTTTGGGTTAGGTTAGGTTAGGCTAGGATAGGTTAGGTTTTAGTATATCTATAGCTCTTTCTGGAAATTCATGAATAATACACAATCATTCCAATCATATCATGAGTTTCCCCATTGTCTCTCTATGATTCAGTACACTCGTTTCTAAGAGCAAGTCTTCTCTAAATGTGTCCACCTTGTTGTGAGAGTTTAAAAATACCTACGTGAGTGAAATACTT